GGGCTACAAAAGCAGGTGCTTCACTTTATTCTGGAGCACAAACATTGTTCATTGCCAGGGGAGCACCAAGTCATTATTTTTATTTCTGAAAAGGGGACCGTGGCCAAATAAATTTGGGCACCTGTGAGTTACAAGGAGGGCACTGATTGGGTAGAAATGGGGTCGGTCCTGAAACTTGTGATGGGGCCAGAGGGGCGGATAATCAACGAATCACTCCTGCCAACAGATCTAGCACACTTAACCTCATCGGAAGACATTAACTCATCTTTGTCTGCTGTTAAGCCACTTCCCCCATAAAACCACGATCTCTATACCAAGGGCTTAAGTGGAAAGCAATTGTTTTGAGAATGAGGGCAACAAATGTACAAATTTGCTTGACATAAAATGGGTGGATGTATGGATTGTGATGAGTGGTACGAGCCCCCAATAAAATGATTTAAAAAACAAAACAAAACAAAAACCGCGATCTCTCCCATGCCTGCTTATGCCAGCCAGTAACCTTGCTGAGCCTGAAGACTCTTCATCCAAGATCTCACCTTAGAAGTCTGACTGGCTCCCCCCGGCCACGCCCACCAGCCACCTTCAATGATAACTAGATTATCGGTCCAGCGAACTCCAAGTACAAATTGTGACCCAAGAGGAGATCCACTCCACTCCCCAAGGATGTGCACACAGGCCACGGTATTCTCCGCCGCCTCATGTGCATGGGAAAGTTGGCCATTGCATAAAGACGACGAAGAAGGATGGATGCATTTGAAAGTGGTGCTGGAGACGAGCACTCAGCGTCTCGTGGACCTCCAGAAGAACACCCTAATCTGACTGGGGAAAACTACAGCGAGAACGCTCCGCACAGGCCCAGCCGGTGAGACTTGATGCCCCGCACTTCAGACATGTCAGGGGAGACGTCCCTGCCGAAGCACCTCCTGCTCGGTCAAGCGGGGGCAGCGGGAAAAGAGGAAGGCCCTCGGCCCTCGGCCCTCGACGAGATGGACGGGCCCAGTGGCTGCAGCCACAGCTCAGGCACAGAAGCAACGGTGAGTATGGTGCAGGGCCAGCCGTTTCATTCTGCTGTGCAGAGGGTCACTGTGGGTCGGGACCAACAAGGTGGCCCCTAACAACATCGATGACATCCAGGTATAGACCTGGGGCCAACCACAAGTGGGATCATGGCGCCAGGTTCACCATGCCGGGTCAGCCTGAGTTGATAGGCCTGGGCCCACTGAGCACAGATCCAAGGAGCCCTGGTGGTGCAATGGTTATGCACTGGGATGCTAACCTCAGGGTCAGCAGTTCAAAATCACCAGGAACTCCGCAGGAGAAACAAGGCTTTCTACACCCGTTAATGAGTCAGAGCCTCGCACACCCACAAAGGGCAGTCTTACCCTGTCCTATCGGGTCACTGAGTCGGCATCGACTCGATGGCAGTGAGGGACAAGCCCAGATGATGGGAGCCCTTGGTGGCACAGTGGTTAAGCACTCAGTTGCTGACCAAAAGGCCGGGGATTAAAGCCCGCCAGCTGTTTTCCTGAGAGAGGTGGGGCGGTCCCTGGTGGAGCAATTCTACTCTGTCCTGTAGGGTCACTCTGGGCTGAGACCAGCTCGAGGGCGACATGGCTGGAAGCCAGCTTGTCCCTGCAGTGTTTCAGCTCCGGAGGTGGGAAAGGGACCTTGGCTTGGTTGGCTCACCGGAGTGTGGACACAGCATGGGCGACGGGAAGTCAAGCTGGAATCCCTGTAGAAGAAGGGATCCTACGGTCTAAAGAAATCGGCATATTCAAGTGCTGGATCAGGTTAGGCCCGTAGGACCATGACTGGACTGCCCAGGGGACACACCTTTTACCACTGGGATGAGGCACACATCCGCGATGTGACGGCCACCCCCATCGTCCTGCAAGGCTGCTGGGACTGCTACTTGATGGAAATCAGAATCGACTGTGGGAACTGTCCCTGCCAACCACGGGGCTGACCATGGGGTAGGGGCCACAAGGCATCACTTAAAAGACAAAATATGAGGTGGGCATGGCTCCCGTAATGGACTCACACACTGCCATCCGGCGGAGTCCCACTCAGCGATCCCATTGGACAGAGCAGAGCTGTTCCCTGTGGGTTTCCGAGACTGTAACTCTTTACGGGAGTAGAGGCCCTGTCTGTCTCCTGTGGAGCAGCTGGTGGTTTCGAACTGTCGACCTTGGGGTTAGCTGGCAGCCCAACGTATAACCCCAATGCCACTAAGGCTCTTTCCCATAATGGCCAGCAGAGGCCAGACTGTCGCCAGAATTGTGTGATTGGTTCGGACTTTGGCCTGGGGCCACTTCTGGTGTCCCAAGGAGTGAAACAGATGGGAAATCTACTAGACTTCTACTTGACAGTTTGCAGTCTCACCTGACTTGACAGGAGAGTTGTGGCCCCTCCATGGATCCCCAGCTTACAGACCCACCGCCCCTTAATGACGATGAGGCTGGCACCCCTTGAGGAAGACCTCACTGCCAAACTCAAAGGCAGTGACTCATTCTCCAGAAAGAACCCAAGTTCACTTGGGCAAAGCAAACCATCCGACTTTGGAGGGATCGCTGGACCCCAGCTCCCGACACAGCTCACTCTGTCCCACCCAGTTAG